CGGGGTCCGAGGGAGCTGTTGGGCGGCGGGGTTGGCGCACGCGGAAGCAAACGGTGCGTCACAGTGATGACGTAGGAGCTGCTGCCTTGTGGGACTCTCAGCTGAGCGCTGCGGGCTGCGGCCAACGGTTCCCGCAGTGATGGACTCGGGGAAGGGCAGGTGGGGGGGAATTCCTGATTTGGAGAGCATTACCGAAAACGTAGGAAGTGTTTCTGAGCGCAGAGATGGGCTGTGGCAGCGGAGGGGTTCTCTGTAGTTAATCAACCTCTGCGTGACAGAAGCTGACTCTAAATCTAAGGGCTACAAAGATGCTGAGGGGACTGGAGCATCTCTGCTACGAGGAAAGGCTGTGGGAGCTGGGCTTGTTCAGCCTGGAGAAGGCTGAGAGGGGACCTTATAAATGCTTATAAATATCTGCAGGGTTGGTGTCAGGAGGATGGGGCCAGACTCTGTTCAGTGGTGCCCAGCGGGAGAAGGGGCAACCGGCACAAACTGAACGACAGGAAGTTCCATCTGAAGATGAGGAAGAACTTCTTCCCTCGGAGGGTGACGGAGCCCTGGCACAGGCTGCCCAGGGAGGCTGTGGAGTCTCCTTCTCTGGAGATATTCCAGACCCCCCTGGCCGCGGTGCTGTGCAGCCTGCTCTGGGTGACCCTGCTTTTTCAGGGGGTTGGGCTGGGTGACCCACAGAGGTCCCTTCCAACCCCGACCATGCTGTGATTCTGTAAATCTTGTCTTTTGCTGTAGCTGTATCTGTGGGTTCATGCTTTACATTGCCATGCAAAATAGCTGAACTCCTTACTGCCCCAGCAAACATAGTTAGGGAGTAGTGTCTAGTGTAGACTAAGACTAAATCCCTGCAGGTTAAACAGCAGTAATTTCTTCTCCGAGGGAGTTAATAAAAAAAAATCACTTAGCTCTGGACAGGAGGGGTTTGTGGCCTAATTTAGGAAGATCATTACAGCCAGAAACTTTGCATAGAAAAAGCAATAGCTGTAAGAGAAGCTGGCAAGCGTGCGGCAAGGCTGAGTGCGCTGCTGCAAATGCTGCTCAGATCTGTACTCGAGACATGATGCTGATCTTTTGTTTCTAAAGTTGTGAGTGGTAGATTTTTGTTATGATACATGCTATGTGTTTGGTTGTAAGTGATGTTAAAGGTGACTTAATTTTTTTTCCCTAGGTATGGGCTCATTATGCCAAAAAAATTGCCACAGAAAAATCTCGTTTCGAAGAAACTCTCAGTGTTTGCAGATGAGTCAGATGAAGAGGTCAGTTCAACAATTTTCTTCCGAAGTTTGCCCCATATTCTGCAAATTATTTGTTTACAATCCTTAATGCCTGCATCAGCTTATGGCAGTGTCATGAGGATATGTGTCATCATTTTGGATTTGAGCGTGAAATATGGTCTGTGTTTTCTTTAGTGCAAGTTCCATTGAAGTGATGACTTGATTGTCAATTACTTTCGGGCAACTCTTCCAGAAGCTCATCACATGTGGCAACCTGTTTGCAAGAGTTAATAGTATCTAGCTTGTGAGGAAATTTGTTGGCTGTCACTGGTGAATATGTCTGCAAATAGAAGGACCAGTAGTAATCAACAGTCCTTTGTCAGATATTAACTTGAAAGTGTAGTAGTTAAGTGTATGTTATCCTTTAGCTCATTCCACCCATATTTGATATAACTGATTTCTGATGTTCAGAGTCACTGTAAACAAAAGCAAAGCTGTACAAACCGAAAGTTCTAAAGCAAACAAACAAACAAAAGGCAAGTAATGAGAATTACTTGTAGTTATGGAAGTACTTGCGATGTATTAGATTGAACAAGACAGCTTTTCTACAGTCAAGGGGTTTGTTGATACTCTGTGATGTATGACTGTAAGGCGTGATGTTGATAGTATTCTATAGTCTCCTCTAATTTATTCATTTTTTTTATTATTACCTTCACAATAATTGCTTTCTACCTGCCCCAGTAGAGGGTGCTGTACACTACAAAAATTATGCTTCTGGATGTGATTCTGTGAATATGGGGGGCACCCAAGAACTGGTGTAGTGTATAGGCTGGTTTGGGTACCTTACAGAAACCTAACCTCTAAAACAGAATTTTTGAAGGATTTAAAACCAGTAGCTATATAGTTTATAGGGAAATAATAGAAACTCAGAATTGTGGAGATGAACTCTCCACGTGGAGCTTTCTGGGCGTAATGTTACAATTTACTGGGTTTTAATGATCTGGAATGACTTGTGATAATTTAATCATAATGTCTTTATGTGCATATTTAGTTTTTTCCACAAAACCCAGAAAATAGACTTTATGTGTACCCATAGTACAGAATTTTAACATTTAAGAAGTTGAAATGTAGAATCAGTTGAAATTTAGAAACAGAGCCTGTGTTACAGGAGTGTTCTTACTGCTCTAGAGCTTCACTCAATGTTCCTTCTTTTGTGGGTTGAAAAAAACAATGCTAACAAAGCATCAAATAATCTTTGTCAGTTTCTGGCTCATCAAAACATTTCTTTTTAATTTTTTTTTAAATGAACTAGCAGTTGGTATTTTTATGTCACAGAAAGCCTGAATCTAGCAATTCCCAGCCTCTGTGTGCCTGGTTCCATTGCAGAATCCAGAATGCTGCTGTTCAAGGTATCTGAGCTCCCTTTATGAGGGCGTGAAAGGGCTGAGGGCCTTCCTAGTGATACCCACTCAACCCTCAGCATGAAACTGCCTCGGTGCAGCTTATAGGACCTACAGGAAACACAGAGGACAGGAACATGTCTTAAATCCCATCTCTTTCCTCACTTAGCTGCTGTGCTCAGCATGCTCAGGAGGTGCGTAGCTGGCACCGTGGCTCTGTAGAGAGGCTTTCGTTTAAGTACAGCTGATGGAGATAGCAGCGCATCCGCTCCTCAAAGGCAGGAGCACTTTCTCTGTCAGTTTGGCATTTGGTGTCTTTCTCTGCATTAAGGGACTGACCCCACATTTTCCAGATCCCACAAACGAGCTTGAATTAATCGGTTGTCACTAAACATTACACGATAGGACTGGGAACCTTCCTGAGTATAGGGCCATTTTTTTTTCACTTCTTACTCTCTTTTAATATCTAAATATTAAAGCAAAATAATGAATGCTAATAATTCTAGTAACGATAGTGTATGATGCTGTCTACTAACTTTTAGCTTAACAGATCAAGTAACCTCTCTTTCAGAAAGGCTGACAGATTCACTATGAGAGTCTGCTATAAAGACTCTTAAAAGTTGTCATGCTCATCAGTATGGTACATACCCAGCGAAAAGTAATAATCTCATAACTGCCTTTATCAAAGAAGATCATTTTTTAAAACAGCAAAATTACTTTATTAGTTTAATAATAATTTCAGAGCTTTTCAAGATAAGGAGCAGCATTTGGGAGGGGTTTCATTTCCTGTCTGCTACCTTATCAGTCAGAACTACATCTCAAATGTCTGGAGATTGTGTATTTTTAACTGAACTCTAATAAAGTTTGTGCTGGGAAAGCTGCACACCTGACTTGGTCTATGATTATATATTAGATACCAAACTTTTGCTCCCTTTTTTTTTAAATGTTACTATGCGTATTTCATTAAGATTTTGCCTGTACCCTTGCTGAAGGAATTTGAAACATTTTTTTTTGCTTTGGGTAAGTACGTTAATGGATGTTAGGTGCTGATGAAGATGAGCTTTGGGTTAGTTCATAAGAAGCAGAACATCTGGGATGCAAATTTTCTTGAAATACAATGTTGACTGAGAAAAAGTAAACCAGGCGATTACAGTTGCTTCTAGCCAATATAGTTCTGAATTATTTGCCTTCATAATGAGGAGTTGTTGCTATCTTGAAAAACTGGGGGGAAGGTTGTTACCCCTAGGAAAGCCTGTTGTAGAGAGCAGATGTTAGAGCAACAAACTATGATATGTTAGTAATAAGTTTCCGTTCTGGCTTACTGCTATTTGTGAGATACCCATTTCCTACAAAAATACTATTCCCTTATTCGTGTGTTGCATTTTCAGAGGTAGCTTGTCAGTATTCCCAGTGCGCTGTTCCATGTTGCGTTTTATCTTTGGAATTTTGTTGAAAATAGCTCTACTGTACAGCAGATACAATCAAGAAACAAAAATATTATCAGAATTACCCAGCATACATTCTTGTACCTTACCAGCCTTTCAAAACTGATTTGTTGTTACAGGATGTAAAGTGTAGCTGAAAAAAAGAACTGTGCATAGACCACAGTAGGTGCTAAATTCAGAAGAGAGATTGTGGAGTCAGTGTGGATAGTTCTGTGAACGTATGGGCTTGACCTGGTGGTGTTTTCAGTGACCATCTAACAGACAAATGGAGTGTTTAAGCAGGCACAGAGGAAGAAACTGAAAACAAGCAGAAAGCTGTATCCTGTTGTAGTCTCAGATTTTTGGTTTTTCTTGCGGATCCTTCCATTCGCTTTGCAACTTTGCAAAGGATGTGGCGATGTAGCATGACTGAAAAAAAGATAGATGAAGTAATGAATATTGATGATGACCAGAGTTTATGCAACAGTTTTCATGCAAAATAAGACTAAGTAGACTAAAGGGGCTCTTAGAAAAGAGATCACTGAGGAGAAGGAAGTGTGGAGCAAGAACTTGAGAGGATGTATGTAAAATCAAGAATGATTCGGAGAAAGTGATTTTGCCATTTCTCGTAATATGAGCAGTAGGGTATATTATGGAATTAACAAGTAACTGGTTTAATCTAAACAAAGGAAATTGTTGTTTTTTTTCTCCACACAATGTATAATTAAGTTGTGGAACTCATTGCCACAGGATATTGTGGCATGGCCAAAAATATAAATGGATTCAGAAATGGATTAGTTAAATTAAGGGATGCTCTTGGTGTCAAACAATGCTCCAGGTGCATCCTCCAGTTCAGGAAGTTCCTAAACTCCTGGTTGCTGGAAGCTAGCAGGGAATGCTGAGGAAAGCTAATTTTGTACATGACTTGTTTTTCATGTTCTTTCTCTTGATCTTCTACAAGTAGCCACGGCTTACTGAGATGAATCTGTTGCCTGACTTGACCTCCACCCCCCCTTGCAGGCTTGGGTCTCATGTATGTTTAGTGATCGTGTGCAGGCTGAAGTTGGGTAATACAGGTGTCTATGAGCGCAAGCCCTAGCGATTCACTGCTAGATACATATACATGAGAGTATAAGTAGCTCATTTTAAGATGTTTGGATACCAAGGTGTCACAAATCCCTAGATCTCACAGTCTGAGATTCCTTATCTGATGTGAGAAGAATGAAGTGAGCAGGGTCACATCTCAGCCTTTCAGAGACTTAGTCACGTAGGGCCACAAACTTGGGTCGAGACCCACAGAAACACATGCAGTTATCTACGCTTGAGTTCCCTGCGCTCCCTGTACAGTCAGTAGAGATGCAGGTACTTCTGGGGCACAACTTGTCTCATTCTAGAGTAGACACTTGAAGTCAGTGACATGAATTTTGCTCTCAAAGTGTGTATTTCACAATAAAGTGCTGTTGGACTGTAGCTCAGTATAAATGTCAGCTTTGCATTTTATGAACTGGCTGACTGTCTGTGCTTCTTTCACTTATTGATCAAATAGAGCTCCAAATTATCCTGCTGTTGCTGTTTGGTCAAATATTTTTCTGTGTATCCAGTTAAAACTAGATGGTTGTATTGAGAGATTAAAATCAGACTACGTATAATTTGCTTGACGTCATTGAAGCATTTAATTTCCCTTTAAAATGTATTTCACTTTAAACAAAGGTAATTTATGTGTCTACTGCAGAAGAGCATGTAGAGATTTCCAAAGGGCCATGTTAAAGGGCAAAGCCCTCTCATGAGTCTTTCATAACAGGTTATATTAGGGCAGGAGGGTCTTTTGGTTTTAAAAAAGGAATGGAGTTATATTTTACATTGTGTATCGCTGAGTACCATGTGTGGGGTTTTGGTAGCAACCACAAGTGCTTTTCCTTAGGAGGCAGGCTATGCAGCCAATCTGAGATGCCCCATAAATAATAACTATTATGTCAGAATGTGCTGGTCTCGTACTTCTTGTGGCAGTCAGTGGGGAAAAACAAGTCAGGCATCTCACATATACTTTGAGAGCATCCACTAAAATAGTTGTGACGTTTTTTACAAGATGTTCTCAGCTTCAACTTTAAGATTATAATTTTCTAGAAACTTGCTTCAGCACTGAAAATGATACTAGTCACAGACGAAGACTTGTTTTCTGAGACTTTGCTTAGTATGGTGCTGCACTCTGCTCCAGAAATTGTCATTTATAGCAGCAGTTTAGGAAGAAGTACTTGTGAAAATCCAACATTAGCAACTGGCTTTTTCTCCCAAGAACAAACAAGACGAATAGAAGTTCAGAAGAGTAAATAGAGCCCAAGTATTCTTTAAACTAGGCACCTTCAGGTGGATCGTTTGCTATCCGCCTTTTGGTTTTCTGAAAAGAGCTTTATACAATTCATTGCCTGACATTTGCCCATAGGAAGTTTCTGAATGTGCTGACCATTTCAAGTGAATTCAACAAGACTAGATGTCTCTAGCTGCAGAACAAAGATCCTGTTAATACCTGGAGGAGGAGAAAGACAAGATGGTCTCAACCCTCCTCTGCTCTGTTCGGCTGGCCTGGAAAAGGAGGGCTCGCTGCCTAGCCTAGGTGAGACAGGAGGGAGCAGGAGATGCAGAGGGAAACAGAGGAATTGCAGTTCAGACCTGAGATGTGGGAAGGCAGAGAAGACAGATTTGTAAGAAAATGAAATTTTAGTCATCTCATTTGTGGAATTGTCTTTTTAGGTATTTGCTTTTGAACTTTGAATCGAGCTTTTTGCATAAAGCTGTAAATTGTTTACATGCTCTATCGTGATAGGAATGTAGCTGAGACAAACAAAAAACATTGGTCAATAGTTTGAATGTTCTTCTTTGCCTATGTAGGAGCAAGACATTTTAAAAAGTAACGTACAATGGGTGCTTACCTGCAGGATAAAAATAAGGAGGTAGCTCAAGCACTTAAGAACCTGAAAGAAGTTTATAGAGATAAGAAACAGGAGAGAACAGTGACAAATGTTAGCAGACTGTGGTCATTTATTTTATTACTCTCCCCCCCCTTTTGTTTTAACACTTTCCATTGTGTACAAGCTGGCTTCCATGGTCTCGTAGGGCTGATAGACTCTGGAGTCTCATTTTGAAGAGTTTCTTGATTTGCATGGATTCTATGTAGTTTCGTAGGATAGGGTTAAAACATTTCCTGCTTGCAGAAAATACTAAACTACGGGCCTTTAATAAATGGGCAGTTGATAAGTAAAAACAATACAAAAGAACGGGAAGTTCTCATCTGTCAGAGCTCATAGCACAACAGGAAATTGTCGACCATAAACCATTAGGGAAGGTGTTTGGTTTTGTAAACTTACTGTCATTCTAGACAAACACATGGCAGGTGGACTTCTTTACAATTATATGTACAATAACGAGGATTATATATTACTTCTGTGTTTATTTAATCTTTGTAGATCAACACCTTTATTTCATGTAGGCAAACACAACATTCTAAGCGGCGTTTCAAATATTTTGGTGCAATAAAGCTTCTGTAAATATAACTGCAGAATCTGTTTTGTGATTTACTGAGACCTTGTTTTCTGGCATAACACAGGGGAGATTCCGTACTGTTTAGGTACCTTTCTGTAAAACCAGTGTAAGAGTGTCTGATAAAGGAATCCTTCAGTGATGACCCTTAATATGTCAAGCAGAGAACCATCTTCTGCCCCAAGAGCCAGGAGGAGGTCTAGGTCTTCTGTGTAATGCTGGTGTGTGTTCCACTGCCAGTTTAAAATAGTTGTTTATATTAAGAAATGTATATGGACTCATCTATAGCATGTTTTTAGAAGAAAGCATACAACATAAACATCAAGTGCAGTATTTTAAATATTTCCCAACATTGAGTCATCAATCCTGAAAGCCAGAGGTAAATACAAGATGAGTGAAGCCAGGATTCCTGTAGATTGTTCTAAACTAAATAATCTGCTGTCCACTTCCACCAGTCCACCAGCCAACCAGGTACACAAATAAATAAGACTTATCTCCAATTCTAGTCCAAATAATCAGCAAGCTGCAGTGTACAGGGTGTAGTCCCAGATACCACAGTGGACTCTTTGTGAGCCTGTGGCTGATGCCTGCCAAGCTCAGCTTCCCAGAGCCTGAAGCATGGGCTGCTTCCTTACTGCAGCTGGGTGAGGGAGAGAGGCTGCTTTCTAGTGATGCGCATAACTGAATCAGGGCAGGGTTTTTCTTCCAGGAAGGTGCACATCATGCTTTCCCTTTATTGCTGTAGTTTAACCAGAGAGTTTAACTGTTTGACAGCAGAGGTGGATTTTATCTAAGTCTGTGTGTAGCAGTTAAAGCACCAGAGAAAGTTGGAATATGTGCCCGTTCAAGTTCTCATTTTCAGTTGTCTGTAAGTCCCTCATCTGGAGCTGGCTAGGAAGGAGTATTTTGAATATTCTATGTCTCAGTTTTTTCTGGTTTTAGTATTACTTATGAAAGTAAGTCCGCGCATGTTTATGGGAATTGAGCAAAGGTCTGAGTATCTAGAATTTAGTGGATGCTGTTATGTGATACCATATGTGCTTCTCCAAATATTGACTGTGTTGCCTTAGCACTTGCTATTGCTGAGTTTAGAATTACTTCGTACTCCGCTGAGATATTACCTTTCTGGCTTTTTTTAAAAGTTACACAGAAGTTTGCAAGTCTTTTTTATTATTTATGGTTTGTGTAGCAGAAAAAAATCCCTTAGAGGTGATGACTCTTGTGTACCTGCTAGTTAGTCCCATACAACTTGTGAACTCACTGACAACTTCAGCCATCCTTGCTGCATGGCAAAGGTCCCAAAGGTACTGCGCTCCTGTGGTCTTCGTGAAAATTGGCAGCTGGGTAAAGGGAGAGACACAGATGAGGATTTGTGATTTTAATCTTTCTCTGTGTTGAGGAGGAGCCGTTGACTGACGGCTCTTCACAGCTGGCTTTTGGTCTCACAGTGTTGCCCACCTGCCAAATCGAGCAGGCGAAGTGTCTGAGGAGGTGATAGGGGAAATAAAGAGACAGAGGGCACAAAGTCACATATGAACGAAACTCCATTAATTCTGCTGCTCATGGCACCACTTGTTCCCCGTTGCTGAAATTAATCGGTGAAAAAATATTTGGACTGGTAACGGTCTGTCATGTAGAAAAGCACTTGGTTTTTTTCCTTGTTGACACATATGTTAAAATTTTAATAGCATAAGAAAGAGGGATCATGACACATTGTATTTTATTTTAAACATCAAATGAATTCAAAAGCCTTCTTGTTCAGGGGATCTGTTTGAATTTACATGGTGCTAATTCTGTTTGCTTTCAGAAGATCTTAGTCCCTGCTGCCAAGCTCCCTGCTAGTTGGTTTCCGTTTTTTAATTTTATTAAGAGCTGATTACACAATCTCTTTGTCTTTTTAAAGAGTGATATAGAGCACATATTAGTCAAAGTTGCAAAACTTGGGAAGCTGCCAAAATGCAAAAGGATTTTTCCTTCCTATTTCTGCTTTTTAAGATTAAGAGGTATTTAATTTCATAAACAAGGGTACGAGTCCTGTCATTTATAGTGAATCTGTCTAGTAAACAGTATTATCTGTTGGTTGAGGGAAGATAGGTATGCAGTTTAGTTCAGCGCTAATTAAAGGACAAAACTAAATTAAGTGCAAAGCTTTCTTTCAAAGACAGTGTGACTAGAAAGCATGTTTTCAGTAGTGGAGATGTTTTTTCTTAGGGAAGATTGGTATTGCTGTTTTCTCACATATTAATCTGGAGAAATTAAACATTAACGTTTGAAGTACGTGCTGTTCAAATCAGTAGTATTCTTACTTCTAAAAATACAGAACTAATGATACAGATGAAACTTGAAATAAGTGCCACATCCTTTTGGATATTTGTTTTTTGCTATGAATACAGTTTTTTCATGTGATTGTCAGTAAGAATGTCTGCTTGTGACTGCTACATTTCTGTTGACATTTACATGCTGGAAGAAGAGTATGTGTCTCAAAAACAGTAAAACGTTTTTGATACATAAATTGGTAGGAAGGTTCAACTCCAATTTTTGTTGATTTGGGGGGTTTGTTTTCTGTGTTTTGCTTTTTTTTTTTAATGGGAAAACCTGAAAGAATTAGTGTTGGGGAGTGAGTAGATATGTTACAAGCATACTTCTCTTAGGAATTTGTTTCAGTACTGGCTTTAGCTGTCTTTGCTAGATGTTTTGCTTGCTGATAAGCTATCTTATTGCACTAGCAGCCTGACCCTTGCTGTAGTGGAGGGGTATGTCTTCTCTACTATTTTTTTGGCAGTGGTTGGAGAAAGGCACTGCAACTAAAGAGTTTTCACAGACCTCCTATGACTCTGAACCTTTCTTGAACAGAGATTGCTTGTTTTGTGAAATGGCATGATATTTTATGCAGCTTTTGAGGTACATACGTCATTGAAATGGTGTTCTTGAATTTATCACAATTTTAATTAAAAAAATTATATATGTGTATGTTGATGTACTGCAGTGATTTACCAATGGAAAACGCTGATTCATTGTGCACTTGTGAATGAACTTCTAGTTTTTCTTGCTTACAGAAAAATTCTATTGAAGTGAGAGACCGATGTGTGCAGTGGGACTATTATATAATTGTTCATTGTAATGGTAGAAAAATAATACAAACTTTGTCAATGTAACTAATTTTATTTCTGCAATGCTTCCTTCTTATAGCCATCTGTTGGTGAAAGTCTTCAGAAAGAAGCATTGAAAAAACAAGCAATGAAACAGGTAATATGCAGTGGGGACTCTTTTCATGCCTATGGCAAATTAGGAAATTGCTGCATCTATTCCATTTTGTTAAATAATTGCAGAAACATGATTGTGCAACCTCAGAGTTAGAATTACACTTTAAAAAAATTCCACATAATGTTATTATTTTGTGCATTGCTCTTTGCAGCACAAGACTTTCTTTAAAACGTGACTTGAAATTCCCAGAGCCTTTAGCAAAGATTTTGTTTCACCTTTCTGAGCAAGAAATTCTTCTGGCTATGATCAGAGTAGCTGAAAAACTGCCCAGTGAGAGCTGCATGAGTGAGGTTTAACACAGAGCTGGTCATAATTTAAAACACAGTAAAATTTCTGTTTAGTCAGTGCAAGCACTTAAATACACAAGATGTTGAAGTTTGTTTTGTGGCATAGAATGCTTTGATATTTTTAGAATTTCTCAAACAGTTTGTTTTGTTTGTAGAATGTAACGTTACGAAGTAGTGGGTTTTTGAATATTTAAATATCTACCAACAGTGAGCCTTTTACTATAATTGAGGAATAAATTATACGGAGGAAACACAAATTTTCCATTTGAAAAAGTTCCAGGCCAATAAAAGACATAGCTAGAAGAAAAAGATGTTTATGCGTCATACATTTAACACATTGCTGTTTTTTGATGGAGGTAATATGTGCTTGAAGGAAGCTTGTATGGTTGCCGCTCAGCATTCCTCTTCTGTTGTCAGGAGATCTGATCTAAGGGCTCCCCTAGTAGTTGTTTTTTGCTAATAGGGCTTTTAAAAACTGACCAGTTTCACAGTTCTTACTTCCAACACGTGACTGTACAAACAGAAGATAGAACTGTGAAATATGGAATCATGTCCTGAGTTCTGTTGGTACCTATTTATTATTTGAGGCTTTGGAAGGGGGATAAACCATAGATGAAAACAGACAGTGAAATTTATTAATATGTTGTGTTTATTTAAAAAATGAATTATGTCATTTGATGGAACAGTTTGCTCATTAAGAAGTTTACAGTCTTGTTCTGGCTGTTGTACTTTGCTTCCTGTATTTCCTTGAACTGCAAATACTGGTGATGATTTGGTTGTTTGTCTTCTCAATCCTGGCATATACAGTGCAAGAACTTAGTAGACTTTAATTTACACTCAATGTTCTAATCGATAGGCTTGTACTATAGATCTGTTCAAATTACAATATAGGAATAAAATGTTTGAAACTGGTAAAAATTTCATGCTTAACATTTTGGTATCTTTTCTTCTCCTCCCACCTTTTTTCCTTTTAGACCAAATTGGAGATTCAGAAGGCTTTGGAGGAAGATGCTACAGTGTACGAATATGACAGTATTTATGATGAAATGCAACAGAAGAAGAAAGAAGTCAATGCCAGAGTGTTATCCGGAAAAGATGACAAGAAGGTCGATACCTGAAAATGTGTGCTGTCTGTCTTATCTCTGTATGCTTGGAATAACGCTGATTGCTTAACTGTTAAGCTTTCCCAAATGCATTTTCTCATGGGGCATACAAGTGTTGTGCTCAAATCCTGTTATAGAAGGTAGTAATTTACAAGAATTTTGGCAAAACTGTTAGTTCATCAGGTACTTCAGAGTCCTGATCCGGTGGAATTCTGGAGGGCGGCAGACTACTACTTTCCCACCCAATTTCTGATGTACCTATAGCATATCTTTCCATGTATTTCTGAAGAGAATGCTACAAGGGGATAGTAGGATTAGAGGCAGTGGGCCCTGCAACAGTACTACTTCTGATAATAAGGACTCTATCGTTACTAAACCAATGAACGTATGTCATTCGTCCTCACTCGCTAGTGTGCTTACTGGAGGACTGTCCGAAGACTAAAGTAATTAACTTTCATTGTTGAAATGTGAGCCAATTTCCACAGCCCAATGCCTGGTTTCAAAGCATTGCTGAGTTATCCTGACAACTGATATTTTCATTGTGACTTTTTCTGTTTCATTTGAAAACTCTTGTCAGCTTATGTGGGTATAAAAGGAAGCTTCCCACTCCCATGCAGGAATAGAAAGGCAAGACTATTACAAGGCAGGAGACAGAGGGGTGAGCAGTGAAATAACATTTAATTTCACTCAGAGCAAAAATCATCTTAGTCAGAGATGGGCTGAATGTTTTGATGGAATACAGCAACCTCTTTTGTTATTGGGAAGCATGCCATGTTAGTGATCTAAAAGGAATGACAGTTTATTTCAGATAGCTATCAAACTGTGAGAATATGTTAGACTAGCTTCTGTCATTTTTTTTCCACTATCAACTTTCTTCAGTATCTCCATCAATGCCACTTTGTGTTTTCTCAGCCACCTCAATTGCCTCTCAGCATGATACCTTTTTTCCTTCCTATTTTAGCCCAGGTACATCCAAAATATTATCAAAGCAGCTGAGATTAGAAAGAAGGAGCAAGAAAAAAGAATGGAAAGAAAAATTCAGAAAGAGCGTGAAATGGAAGGAGGAGAGTTTGCTCACAAAGAGGCTTTTGTGACTTCAGCCTATAAGAAGAAGCTGCAAGAAAGGGCTGAGGAAGAGGAAAGAGAAAGAAGACAGGCAGCTCTCGAGGGTAAGATTCACATTGAAAAAAGTCCCCTTAAAAAGAAGTGTGGCCTTGTACATGATTTTCAGCATTGTCATCTGGTCCCTCTGTGAGGCTTGAGATAATTATTTAGGACCAGATAGCAGATACTGAATCAGATCCCACTTTATCTCTTGTTTTCCTTTGTACATGTTACTAAAGGAACAGAGGAAGCTCCTCTGGTGGCGTGGCATTACTATTTGGGGCGCTACTTTTAATTTCTGAGGAAGGATCGGTTGTTGCAGGAAGACTCGTAAGCCTGGGGTACAATCATGCTTACACTTCTTACTTCAGACTTTCTGTGCAGTGTCCCAGGAGTAGCTGTGAAAAATAGAATGTAGGGGCATAAGATAAATCAGGCTGGAGTGGACCTCTGAAGGTCGTCTGTTCTGGCCACCTGCTCAAAGCATGGCCTGTTATGAGGTCAGATCAGGTTACTAGGAGCTTTTTCCACTCTGAGTTTGAAAACCTCTAGGACAGAGATTGCAGTCTTGGTGGTGTCTTTACCAAGTGTGGGTTGTGTCTGATGAGTATTTGTGGCACAGTAAATCCAACCTTACTTTCTTTCTCTTAGCGTACTTGGATGTGACCAAACAGAAGGATCTCAGTGGATTTTACAGACATCTTTTAAACCAGACGGTAGGGGAAGAAGAGATGCCTCAATGCAGCTTCCGTGAAGCCAGGTAGGATGTGATTCCAGAAGGCTTTTAGATATATAAACCAGCTTCTGACTGTGATTCCAGATTCACTGGAACACTGAGAATTAGAGAGAGAGTACTAAAACACTGGTAGGGTAAGCTGATTACTTTATACAGCTGATTAACTGAATTATTTGGAAAATGTCTAATGATGATCAGTGGTATAGACTGTAAGACAAACAAGCAGGAGAGGGGTGCTGTTTTAAAAGTATCAAGAGGGCAGTCATACTTGTAATACTGCTTGGTATTATTCTAACCTATATTTACTTTGATTTACATAATATTTGGCAGTCTGCATTGTTACATCTTTTGAATCATGAGGGAGACAAAAGGTAATATAATGAGCATAGCGGTAAGTCATAGGAAATGATGTTGTGATATGAATTTCTAGAAAAGAATGTGAGTCTCTAACTTGGTACTTATTCCACTTTTACAGGTTCATAAATAAATTAATTGAGTGTTGATGCAGTGGTAAAAGGAAATTAATCAAATATATAGGAAATCCAGTGGGACTATTTTAAAGTCTAAATATATGTACATTCCAAAGTAAAGTAAGGAGATAGGCTGAATTATTTATGTAGTTGAGATGGTGAAATTCTGTCTTGTGGGTAAATATGGTGAAGGGGATGTGTTTCTTCTGTGCAATAACTGATCATTTGAAACAATTAATTCAGGCTAAATATCACCTGAGTTAGGCTGTAAACCTGGATGTCACTAGTTAAATGTTTGCCATCAGAAAGAAAACATAGCTTTCATCAAGAGATCTTCCAGGTCTGAGACTGGATTATTAGAAAGTAAATTCTTAGCTTAAATGAAGAATGTGATTGCAGTGAAGTTACTCAGCAATCTGAAATAAGGGAATTCTCAATTATATCCTTAGTATAAGGATATGCCATCTTACTGGGAATAAATAAATTCATAAGTAGCGTGAAAGAAATAGGAAGTTAGAATTACTGACTGGAAGAAAAACAGAACAGGTTCCTGAATTTCAGCAGAAGATGGGAAATTTGAGGCCACAGTTTTGTAATTTGAGACTTAAAATATTATACCTGTGTGTTTGGGATAACATCCTGTCTCAGGCTTTCACCAAGGAGAAATACCTGCTTGGTTTCAGTGCTGCACAAAGATTGCTACTGAGGTGGTTAAATGAATTTTGCATTTTGTGGTTTCCTCTTTTTACTGATGAAATCTAAGTTACTCAGTGCATCTCTTTATAAAAACAGTAGCAGTAGTGGTCAGCTCACTTGGTTGTCCATTTGCTTTAATAGTTCTTCTTTCAGAGCGTCTTCAGGAAGATGTAGGTTTGTACTGTGTAGACATAATTTGAAATGATGGTTTCTTAATCTTGCAAATTAAGGAAATGTTCCTTTTGTGAGTTGTATGTAAAATTAATTCAAGGGAAAACAAGTAGTACTGTAGATGGTGCTCCCAGCAAAGCTTTCAAATAAGCTCAGGTGTATATTTTAATTTTATTCTTTCTTATGGTGGTACAATAAGATACGGAGAGAAAACGGCTCGATTTTTAGATCTCAGAATTTGCATCACTTACCACTAAAGTTATCCACCTTTGACTTGTAATTTTAATTAATTGGATGACTAAATAAGATATCAAACTTTTCAGCATAATTTTTAGTCATTATTCATAGACTAACCATGCTTTCAAGCATGCATCAAACTTTCAATCTAACTAGATGGTGTGCTGATCCTTAAGAATTTACCACAGAAAGTTACTGTAGCTCTGTGATTAAAAAGAAGAGACGTGGCTTTTGTGAGTAAACGTGTGTTTCCTTATCAGTCAGAAAAGAATGACAAAGCCTCACCTTTCTGTCTGTGGCCCAGATTGGTCCTCCATGGGTCAGGTTTTTGTATTTAAGAATCTATGACTTGTTAAAAGATACTCATTTCTGTCTGGCTACAAGGGCGAGATCTTCAGAAATACTGGACTGAAAAAAGCTACTCCTGCTACTAATGGAAGCTATGTTCCTGCCTCTGTCAACGAAACATACAGCCTACTACTTCTCTTCTAATTATTTTGTGTGAATAGAGGAGTAAACATGTAGGAAAAAAAGTGCAGCTTACACAAGAATACAAATCTATGTCTTTTTCCTGAGACGGAGGCTACAGATACTTAGCCATAGTCATTCTTTTAGATTCGCGTTCACCAGTGAACCAGATTCATGTACTGAACAGAAATCCTTTGCACTGGATTCCTGGAACCTGAGCCACCGATAAATTTGCTTGCTTAGACTTTTCAGCAGCATCTTTTGCTTAAGTCCTAAACGGAAGTCAGTTGGTTTTGTAGAAAAGTCTGAGATTTCAGGCTGTGTAATGTTGTTTTTTCTTTTTTAACATAAAAAATGTAGGATAAAGGAAGACAAATCTGACAGTTGTTATGATGAATCCAACCAAAGGAAGAAATGCCCACATGAAGGACAAAGGCTGAAGCCCTCCGCTAAGAAAGAGAGTAATCCAGACACTGATACCGACTTAGGAACTGATAGTAGTGATGATGGTAAGAGACACAAAAATAGTAAAGTAAATTTGAAAAAGAAGAAAAGGAGAGAGAGCTCTGTGAGCAGTGAAGAGGAGGCTAAACGTCACAAGAGCCAGAGGCATTCCAGGTCACCCAGTTCATCCAGTGTGGAGGAAGAGCTGCACACAAAAGCCCAAACAAATCATCTTGCAAAGAGAGGAGAGAGCAGACCAAGCAGAAGGGGAAATGATGAACTATACAGGGAAAAAGATTATGAGAGAAGTAGGACCCATGAAACGGATCACCAAAGGGAAAAGGAAGAGCGCCATAGATATGGGGATCACTCTAATAAAGATACCTACAGAAGGAGAGAAGAGCAAGATGATAAACAAAGGGGGAAGGAAAGAAAAGAGAGGGAGGGACATGGCCGAGAATGGAGGAAAGCAAAGGAGAGAGAAGAGAAGGGCTCAGAAAAGGAACGAGAGAAAGAAAGAATAAGAAATGGTAAAGACAGATATAATGACAGAGAGAAGGAGAGAGGGGAGAAATGCAGAGAAAAGGAAGATCATATGAAGGAGAGGAGAGAAAAATATGGTAGTGATGAAAAGAAATACAGAGAGAGGAGGGAAAGTACTCCTACATCTTTAGAAAAAGAGGGAGAGGCTAATTTGGAAAATGAGAGAAAGGGAAAAGAGAGACAAGTGGATGAGAAGGGAGGATCCAGCTCTGGAATTTCATCTGAGCAGAAACGTAAAGCTGGAGAAGAAGGGGAGAAAGAGGAGAAAGACCAAGCACAGGAACCGTCTGAGAGCATGAGCAAATTTGCCAAACGGAGCAATGAAGAGACAGTCATGTCAGCAAGGGACCGCTATCTGGCAAGGCAAATGGCGCGTGTCAGTGCTAAATGTTACATAGAGAAGGAAGAGGATTAATGTCCCTGTGGTAGACAAAACCACTCGGTCTCTCAACCAAGAGGAAAAGCTGCTGCTGCATGGACTCTTGTGCAGAAGTAAAAATGTATCCTAGCTATTTATTCCTGGCTTTTATTGAAGAAATTGTGTGTGCCACCATAGAACAACTTTTGAAATGGATTAATGGATCACTTGGTACACACTCTTGGACTGTTTATACAGTTGCAATATTACATTTGGCTGACTCCGTCCACCCTGACCTTCAGTACTCTATCCTTCGTACTTGAAGATCCTGGGACAGACCTAGGAGTGTTAAACAACGCAAGGTGAGAATACGTTCTCCTGGCAGCCCCTGCTCCTTTCACCAGCTGAAACAGCGCGCTCTGCTGAAGCAAAGGTGTTCTCAGGCCTTAGCAGGAGTCAGTGTTGCCCACTGTTGCTCTCAGAAATGAGAAGCAGACCTGTAGGAGTGGGAAGAAAGCAAGACAAACAGCCTGAATAATAATTTAGGAGATTTCTGTACGTAGCATGGTGTTTTGTATGCTAAATGCATATTGATATAAGAATTTTGTATTTATATGTGGGCTTTGATTTTGGGGACCTGATGTACAGAAACATTTAAATAAAGTATAAGATACATACTGGATCTAATGCTTGGGTCTTTTTTTAGTGCTTGTATTATTTTACTGCATCTCTTTTGTGTGAAATAAGGTAGATGAGTCTTTAGTTCTGTAATACTGAGGTATTACAGTCATATCTGCTTGTTCTACTAAAGGTAATATTTTAGGTCTGTCAATCTCTCTGTTCTAAGGTTCATAATTCAGAATAAAGTTATCTCCAAACTAGAACTTGGTAAGTAGGATGTGTGACAGTAGTTGTATTTTTTAGAATACATTTTAACACTTTTCACAGTGGTTTCTTTCGCTTTGTTTCGTAGTAAATTTATCACTTTTATGCTACAGTAAAGGTGAACTAATATAAAAAAAATATTTTGAGATAGGTGCTTCTCTAATATTTTGTTCAGCAGACTTAGTAAGGAGACAAAATGTGAGTACAATTAAACGTCAAGCCCACCAGTTTACAAAGACTTCAGATGGAAAGAGTTTTATATGTAAGCTAATTGAGTAGCTGAGCACTTACTCCAAGTGCGGATCAGTTTGTTTCAGCTGTTCTGTCTAAACAAATGCAATGTGCATTGGCTCTTCTGTTGGAATAGAATGGAAGAATGTTTAGCAGTGGTTCAAATGCTAAAGGAGATCCTCTGCTTTTTGTCAGAGGCCTTGTTGATATAGTAAACTGGACTAGATATTCTGCTTTTTCTTGGAATTGAGTTTTGTCTTTGTTCTTCCCATAAGAGAGAGGCAGAAGAGACATCTACAGATAGATTATGAATATTAAATTTATTACAATAACAGTTTACAGTACAAGGCACATACTGATGACTTACAATCAGCTTGCAATGCTTGTAACTAAACAGCTGCATAAATTAATACAGGTGCGTCATGTACAAGTTGGAGGGACTACTTAGTTCTGTACAGCTAAAACTCCAGTATAATTCTCTGCTTAAAAGGCAAACATGGTCCTAACTTACCAGTTTCATAACTTCCTTTTCACTGTTGAGAGTGGAGGGTAGGATGTACTCGTGTGATAGATAAGCGGAAGGTGTTTGCCTCAAAACAGTTTTACTTGCAGTGCAGCCGATTCGGTATCAATATAACTAATTTTTATACAAAACCAATATTTAATGTATGGCTATGTGTTGAGCTACCTAATAAATACTGGTTACTCTAAATGCTTTCAGATGGATATGTAAAAGGAAGAAAAAACAATCAATGATAAAAATAACAATTTCTCAATATTTCAACCACTCAGCTAAATAGAGATACTAAAAAATGAACTTACCATAAGAAGACGTAGAAGACTTCAAACCAATATGCCATGTAATGAAAAAATAATGACTAAACTGCCTTGCAAGTTCAGCTTTTATAGAATGAAAACGTGGATGTATTCTATCTTTGTATTATTCAGGAAAATAAAAGCCTTTTTAATCCACTTCTGGAGGGTTTCCTTGCCCCTTGTTCCCACAAAGACCTCAGACTGGATTATTCCAGTGAGAAGAGTGCAGAGATTTAGCATCACAAATGATCTTCTGGACTGTCTATTTCTAAAGATATTTTTCCGGTGACTTTGCATGTCTACGTTGCTTTTTGTATCTTCAGATGATTTTAAAAGCTTTCACCCTCTCTCAGTACATCTGTACTCAGAGTGCGTAATTCTAATTTTTCAACTGAGAAATTCAAGCTGAGAGACCTTGCCCTAATTTACACTGTGACTGGTGCAGGGACTGTGTTAATATCAGGGCTTCTTGGCTGACTTTTAATCCACTAGAAAACAGTGGCATTTCTTGGGAATTTGCTGAGCATTCTGTGCTAAAACCACCCGGAGAGACAATGTCTGTTATGTATTAGTGCCTTAAAAAATACAGAGTAAAGATGTATCTTTTGCTGTTTCAAATGCTGTTTTAAAAGAATAACATCAGGAGCGTTGCACACTAAAGAGCAGTGACTTCTGCAATGACTACTCTGCAAGTTGTTCTATTAGAACTGATGTTCCCAATTTCAGTTTGTCTGCAGGGGCTGAAAGAGAAACTTTGGCTTTGGTACAGACAATGCTCATATTTAATCAACCGTTTCTGTCCCCACATTCACCCTGCCTAATCAAAGGGAGCAGAATGTTTGTTTAAAGAGGCTTTTTCAAGTGGGCATACTTAAATAACCAAAAATTTGAACTGTAAGTCTTGGGTTGGTTTTGGGGGAGTGGTTTGTCTTGGGTTTAGTTTGTTTGATGAGCCTAGCATGAAACAGTATCAAGTCTGGCAAAAAAAATCCATTTGTAAGATTTATCTATTTAAATACTTATCCATTTAGGAGGAAATTTGTCTAGCGTTACCTGAATACCAGTCTGAAGAATGAAGAAGCTGGGTAGGGTTTTCACCTTTATTTCCCACACTTTGATATTGGATACCTCATATGAGTACCTCATTCATCTTACATTGACATTTCATGTGTATTTTTGCAATTAATGAACTTGTAACAGAAAATTTTATTTTCTAAAAGAAAATCAGTAATTTTCTGATTGGTAACTTAATAACTACATGGCTTTCCAATATTAAAAGAATTCCTAGATTTTCCTCTTTTCCTCATAATAAAGCCAGTTTTGGAAGCAGTTTTCAAATATACGTAAGGGCTAAGATAAAAACCTGTTTCTTAGGAGTAACTGTCCAGTAAGACAGATTTATTATGTTTTTCTGGTGGCAGTGAAAGAACATTCTCCCTTTTTAAAAATAGCTCAGGAGTCTTGTGTTTGTAGTTCCAAAAGAACAGTCCTTGTCCCGTTATTTCCTTATTGGAAGTTGAGCTTGAGACCTAAAGTGTGCTCAAGTGAGTTGCTGAAGTGTAAGAGACCCTTCCTCCAGGAGGTGTCTGCATACCTAAGGAGAAAAACCATGCCAGAAGCAATGAAAATGTTCTCAAACGGCAAACACACCATCACTGTGTCCCTCTGATGTGGCAAGTTGGTTCTTCGTACCGATGTGAACTCTTCAACAGGTTTCTTACTGCCTGCTGCTATGAATGCATACATAACCTTGTTAATTTTAGCAGTATGTTACCCAGGTAGACCATGAGATACAAAAGAGACTTTTACCCTCTATTTTACTTTTGTTATGATCTATGTGGTAGAGTAAAAATACAATGCAAGTTTTTACATAAATGATGCCTCCTTAGGTTTACATAAACTTCCACGTAACTGCAGAAGACTGTTGTCCTCCAACTGACTTGGCAATTGCAGTCGGTCTGAAGGGCAGTTACATTTGGAGAGCATGCTTATGCATATAATATAAAGAGGTTAGTATGTGCATGGAAGTTAATTTGTATATCAGTGCCTTGAAATCTAATATAAATAGTTCTGATGAGAATCAATCCTGC